ATAACCAATTTATTTGTAGGACACCTAATATATGCATTTGCAAAAACAGCAAACTTATCAACACAATTTTATTTTAAAATAGAACAAATAATCGCGAGATTTATCGAATATACGCATACAGACGTAACCTCCATATATATATATATATATATATATATATATATATATATATATATATATATATATATATATATTGGGTATTAATTTTTCATTTATTCAGTTTTGGTTGTAGATCAACAAAAGTTCATTGTTCTCTTTCATTTAACTTCGATTCAGATCATTTTCTGGTTTCTAATGGAAAAAAAATTGAACACAAATTGGGGAAATGATTTTGAGCTCTTTCAGTTTAAAAAATACTGTTCAATTTACATTCAAATTCTTCCCATAAATTAAGAAAATGATCCGAAATATATATATATATATATATATATATATATATATATATATATATATATATATATATATATATAATCTTTTATACAAGTTTCATTAAAGATGACTGACAAGGTACTGCGATTAAGGTTTTTATTCAATTTTTCTCGTATTTGAATAAGGGATTTCTTTTCTGGACATAAAGTGTGCAAAAACTGTCCGGATATTTTATATATCGAAGCGCTTTCGACTATTCTATTAGCTATTATCAAGGATTTAAAAAAAAAAAATTAACTTCATGCGTAGATTTTTATAAATGAAAAAACCTTCCCATCACTCTAGAAAGAGTGATGGGAAGGTTTTCCCCCAAAATCTCTTACACACTTTATGTCCAGAAAAGAAATCACTGATGCATTGTGGGTAGTCTATTGTATTATTCTAACGGTTGTTTTGCTGGACGTTAATTGTTTCGAATTATTCTAGGGTCTATTGAGTGGATATAATTTGGGATCCGGATGCAGTTTTTGGCTATTTATATTGTTGTTAGCTAACTTTCTTTTTTTATTTATTTTTCATTATTTTATTGTTGGCCGTTATTACTACGTTTTCTTGTGTTTATCTGTGGTTAGGTAGTTTGTTAATTTGTTTATTATTTACTTAGTTTATTTATTTGTTTGGATGAAATTATTTTGTTTGTTTTTTGTATTTTTATTTTATTTTATTTATTAATTTTTGTTTATTTTTGTTCATTTAGAGTTTTCAATTTTTAAGTAACGTAGTTAAAATTTGCTTTCGTGCATATATATATATATATATATATATATGTGTGTGTGTGTGTGTGTGTATGTGCGTATATATATATATATATATATATATATATATATATATATATATATATAGGCACAGACACACGATGGTGTCCTGAAACCCGAACCCTAATGGACACATAATATGCTATTTGCAAGCAAAAGGTATGTTGTTCCTATTTGCTAACTTTACTTACATTGAAACTGAGAGAAAAGTCATGAAATTAACCTCACATTCTTCCTGTGGCACACTTGGCCTTTTGAGAATACTTCGGGGCAATCGACCTGGAGCTGAGAAATTCCCAGAATGATTTTCTATTTGACATCATCATACAGTGCTTAATCAAAATAGACGTGGGCTGTAAGCAGTTTGAACGTAGTTTGATTACCCGCATGACATTTGTCTTATTATTATTGGATGAGTTGCTCGTCCGGACCGATCAATCACCAGCGAGTCGCCTGGCCAAACGGCGTGATGTCAAACACAGATTTAAAGTTTCGAAATTGTTGATGCTACTCCTGAACAAATAATAACGATGGGTGGAGTTTTTAAGTGTCAACGCTAACAGCGAATACCTAAGTCTTTTCTTGTTTGTAAACTGATATCATAAAGCAGACATGACACGTTGCAGACGACAGACCTTTCATAATACACATTATCATAGTATCTTCTGTTTGGTGCTGGCTTCTATACAGCGGTATTATTAAAAAGAAAAAAAATCTATTAATCTTCACGGAGGTTTAAAAAAAATGAAAAATGACGTGAATTCGTTGAGGCAAATTATTATTTGTAGCCAGTAAAAAAATTGAGAAAGATAAGGCAAGGAGACTAAGATTAAACCAACTTGTCTACAAAAGAACTTCGAGTAATGACCGCTAGGTGTTGTACAAAACACTATATAAATAAATGTTTTTCTCTCTTATCTCGCTCTTTACATTGTAGGGACAAGACGTTTCTCGTTTCCCTTCGCAGGACTTCTTAGTCTCCAGCGAATCACGTGTCTCATACAACAGGAATATATAAATGTCCTAAGCTTATAATTCTAAAACAAGGAACTTCTTTTTAAACGTAAGCCTCAACATCTTTAATAGTACCTCACACAGTACGTAAGAATAAGAACCATTCAGTATACCAATTCTGTTCACTTATTTTTATATCCATCCTATTCAGTTTTACTAAGGTAATAAAATGTTGTTAGTTACCCAATGTTGTTTGTAATTTCATTTCTATCTTGTGTTTGAAAAAATATCTCGTGTGACTACAATACTATCACTACGTTATCTCTTGCAATAGACATCTCTGCAACGAAATCTAACTCAACGTTGGCAAAATCGTAACATAAAATGGTAACAAATCCAATACAAACTACTAACCAAACTTTCCACAATATAAAACAGTCAATGGCAGCAGGAGTAAAAGAAATAATTTGAAAGACTTTTCTAAAAAGGAATTAAACTTTCAATGTGTGAAAAGGAAAGTTAACTTTATGATTCTTGAATTACAGTCGAATTCGTTACATTCAATTTCGGACAATGACCGCTCTGTGGTGTTGTATAAAACACTATATAAAGAAATGTTTTTTTCTCTCTTATCTCGCTGCTTATGTCGTAGAGACAAGACGTTTTTCGTTTCCCTTCCACGAGACTTCTTAGTCTCCAGCGAATCACGTGTCGCATACAACAGAGCAAATAAATGTCCTAAGCTTATAATTCTAAAACAAGGAACTTCTTTTTAACCGTAAACTTCAACATCTTTAAGGACGCATGAATAAGAACCATTCAGTATATACACTTCTGTTCACCTCTTTTTATATCCATCCTATTTAGTATTGCTAAGGCAATAAAATGTTGTTAGTTGCCCAATGTTGGGTAAGGTATGAATCCATCTTTTCTCTCTTCGCTAAGGGTTAAAAAAAAACAGGGCGAACCTTTCTAGCCGTGGTTGGTAACTCTAAATGTAAAACTGGATGTTGACCCGGACACTCGCAATGGAAAAGATCACGATCATCGATCTTCTGTCTTAATACCAAAAAAGAAAAAAAAATGAATAAACAGTTTAAGTGTTCGTTACCATCAGAAATCGCTCTGAAAGTGATCGTATATTTCCAGAAAAGAGACAAAGCGCATCCAGTACTTATATAGAATCATAATTCTGTTTGTTTCTCCATTATTGAGTAAGTTAATTATCTCAGGTAAATAATGGACTATTCCGTTATGATTGCGAAGGAAGACGAAAGAAGTTATATCAGCGTACAAAAGGATCTCGACTGAGGCCGGCTTCTATTGGTTTGTACAGTAACGTTATGATATTTTTCTGACACAGTAGTAGAGGAGCTATTCGATTTACACTGGTAGAAGTTTGCTGGAAAAAGCCAAAGCACGACATTATATATTTAAATGGTCCAGCGAGAAACGCACTTATAATGAGCAATGCTTTATGAAGCGAGTCTTATGCTCAACACTCCCTACTGTAGCTGTGACACAGAAACCCACGGATGTAATTTCATCCATACTTTCATGTATAAAAATGTTGCTTTGTTTACTCTTAGAGCGAACAAGCAGCAAAGATTAGGCGCTTCGCCATATTGTAATGATTAATGATCGAGTTTTTTTTTCCGTGAATGGGTGTCTCACCCTTGTAGCTTTGTCATATTCTGAGTTAAGTTTTGTAAATTTCGATCGACAGTATTTAGTAATGGAAGCCACTGGAGTCACTGCAGTAAGAATAGAAAAGCGAAAAACACAAGACTTATTGATTAAAGCAAGCAAACGTTTCATTAAAAAAGTTTTCTTATCTCGCTAAATTGTACGTTTTGAAAACCTAAACATACATTTCTAGAGTATTGAAAAAGTAGATAGGCCATTTAGATTTAAAATCAAATTGTGGGTAGGGAAAAAAATGGAGTGATGATTTTAATTCTGATGACTCAAACCCCGAAGAAGATGTTTCTTTATAGTTTATTTCAGCAACATAAATCATGAGATTACCTGTGGTTTTTTTCAGGTACCTATACATTTTAATATATGTTTCAAATAATTTAATTTTTATGAAGTTTAAAATTTTCTTGAAATACCTCAGTATAATAAAGACTGTAATATTGCGATTTATTAAGCGTAGCTTAGATGAGGCTTAAGACCGGCAGTATACAGCATCCAGTGAGGATCGAACTCATTGTTCAGTTATAATTGATTTAGCAAGACAAGGTAGCCATTTCACAAGGCCGGAAGCCCTAACGGCGGTATAACTACAAACACAGCCGGGCTAAAATGTTAACGAAGTTTGGTTGATAGACCCTCTTTCTCGTTACACATACAAATTAACAAGATAAAATTTTAAATCTTTGCCTGAAACAAAAGTACTCAACGATGAAATACAATAAATGAAAAGTTATAGACGGATTTTTTGTTGGTGGTGCTAGCGGGAAGTCACCATTCTTTTTTTTTTTTTTGGCGCAAACCTAAGTCCACCTGATAATATTTCGTGAGATACGAACAAGATATTTAACAAATATTTGGAAATTTAGTGCAGAAAGTTTACTGTTTTGTGATTTATATTTGCATATTCTGATTTATAATTGCATATTCTGATTTTTTGGTGGGGTGAGTTGGGTGCTGGGGACATGTAAAATATATTCTTAATTATAACCCGAGAATTGTGAAATTGGACGTATGTCATTTTTTCCTTAATAGGAAAGAACTGAAATTGTCCTTTCTCTCTCTTCGTGTCACACACACACACACGCACACACACACAGAGCAATTCTTTTACAACACGTTTATTTTATATATATATATATATATATATATTCTTTATATTTCCAGAAAAGCGTCCAACAGAACTGACGACAGGCATCAAGATACAATGGGTGCTGTTCAATATCACCTCAAATGGTGGTATAATCGTAGCCATTCTATTTTGGCTTGTTCTATATCATCCGGGTAAGTAATTATTTGTTGCAAAATAATTTGTCATTAAATCACTATGTTTTAATGCGTATAATCAGTTCTCATTCGTTAAATTCTTCTTCTTTTATGTGCCGTGTCCCTTCAGGATGTGAACGATCATGGCTCTACACATCTTACTGTCTCTTGTAGCTCTTAATAGGTTTTGACTTTTTGCTATTTCTCCGAAACCCTGTTCTACTAGTCATTTACTCAAACCCATCAAGTATGTTACTTGCTGTTTACCTCAGTTCCTTTCCCATCAATCTGTCTTGTGAGTATCAGATTTTCCAAGCCCTCCTTCTTCATTACATGCCCCAGAAATTCCATCTGCCTCTTTCTGATGTTAAGTATAAGTTTTCTTTTGTATCCATTTTCTCTAAAACCTCGTCGTTGCTCACATGTTCGGTCCATGGTACCCCTTGCATCTTTCTGTAGGACCACATTTCTGTTGCTTCAAGTCTCTTCTTCATCTTTGAGGAGATTGTCCAGTATTTGTTACCATATAGAATGAGATATATCATCTAACAGTTCAGTACTCTTTTTTTTTTTTCTAACGAAGTTTTTCTGTTCATTTAATACTTTTCTTAGCTTTTGGAATGCATCTTTAGCTATCCCAATCTCACCTTTGCACTTTCCATCCTCTGTTAGAATACTTCCAAAATATTTAAATTTATTTGTAATTTGTATTTTGGGCTCATCCTTTTGCTGACAACCATGCATTCTGTCTTCTTGTAGTTTATATTTAGTTCTTTCTTCTTACTTTCCTTCGCTAACTTCTGTAGAAACATTTTTAGGTTCTTTTCTCTGTCTGCTATCAACACTGTGTCATCTGCATCTAATATTGTTAAGATTGTGGCCGCCAATAATGAATCATGGTAGGACTTCTAATTCTCTTAGAATTGCCACGCTCTATAGGTTGAATAAATCCGGTGAGAAGGTACATCCTTGTTTTAAACTCATCTCTATTCGTTAAATTAGTAAACATTTAAGAGATAAAAACGTTTATTTTATAAAATGGAAATCATTCTGTAAAAATAATAGTTTGTTAAATCAAAGCATTAATCTTTCTTCTATATGTTGTGTCCCTTCATGACGGTGGCGATCATGGTTTTCTTCAATTTCATATTAGAGAATAGTGATCACTTAGACGTCATGCTACTTTCCATTTATACGTTTCATTTGCGATCACGTGATCTACTTATTTAATAAGAGATCTGTGTTCAAACTACGGTGTCGGCAACGACATTTTATTCCTATACAACAATAAAATCATACAGATACGAATTATCTTGTTCTAATTAGTTAAATTCAACAAGGATCCAAACCCGTTTGTATGTGAAGCTTACGTCAAAGCAATTATCAATTCTATGATAGCAATAGTTTCACTTAAAAATTTTTTTATTGTTGGTTTACAAAAAGCATTTTGGTCACATGTATTATATTTTCTCGTGTATTAGTGAATAAACCGTGATGAAAAAGATGAATAAAAAGTAAACAATTGAAAGCAACACTAATGTGTCCTTTGCAGTCAGAAACCACTTCTAAATTTAGTGGCCGTGTATATTTAGAAAAAAGCAAGCCACACTCAGTACATATGTAGAATTGGTATTAATTATGCTTCAAGTTGACTTTGCATCAGCATAAAAAAAAACACAAGATGGAAAAAATAATTCTATAGTCACAGATATAATCAAATTTGAAACGGAAAATTTTACACCCCCACACACAAAAAAAAAAATTGTAAGTAAATTGACGATCTTGATGAAATAAAAGTTTCATTACACTAATATCATACTTTCAGTTTGTAGGAAATAGATTTTATATTTAGTTAAAATAAACAGTTAAATTATTTCAAATTTATTCAATTCGCTTGGTATTCAGAGATATCAATTCCAAAAATGGATTTTGGTCTAAATACAAAGCCACCATCGAAAGTTAAGAAGAAACTAAAGACACAGTTTATCAGATAACTTTGGTTCCTGTTTCTTAAATTACGATAACCGAGTTGGTCTTGAATTGAGTTATCCATTAAATTATGTAAAATTAATTAAAACTTAACACGTTTGTTTTTTTTATAAAGTTTTCGAGTAGTCATCTTAGATGTTAATTGCAGCTAGGATCAGGAAATTTACTTAAAATTCGTGACACAGATATTGCCTTGTATAGGCAGTATTTGCGTATATAATCATTATATATAATACAAAAGTTGGATGGCAAAATTATTTTTTGTATACTTTTTATTTAGTGTACATGTGTGAACACAATAAAAAATTGGGAAAATCACAGAATTTTCGGTTGCACCCTCAGCCTTCACCAGTTTCTGATACTGGATAGCAGTTCTTACATTTCAAATCCAGCAGACGTTAATAGTCTCAGTGCGGAAAGCATCAATTCTTTGGCCGCGACATCAGATAAAGATTTTTATTGTTTCTTCCCCATATTTTTAACATAATTTTATCCACACGTGGATTTGTCTCTCAAACCAGATGACGTCTACTATAAGAGGGAATATGCGTAAAATTCTTTTCCAATTTGTCTTATAAGTGTGCAAATCTTATAAGTGTATATGCGAGAATTCTGAGCATAACGCGATACCGAGTGGTTAGAACGTTCGCTTTCAGACCATGAGATCCGAGTGCAAAGTTAACCTAGACCTTGTGAGTGAAATTGGGTAAATGGGGGCCGTCCATGGATATGCAAGCTGTTATCATGGCCGACGGTTTGAATTTACTGGTTTTGCTCGATCTGTTGATAACGCCAGATGTTGCGCTCTCTCCCAGAAACAGTAACTACGACCCGCTCACCTTAGCTGCAGTATAAAACTCAGGTGGGCTAAACACAAAAAGGCCTGATCAGGCGTCTGTGACAGGGATTGGCTAACCGCTCCATCAGACCGGTGTGCTTCGAAACGAGTAACCGGCCATTAATTGCAAGAATATAAAATGAAGAGTATTAAAAAACAACAGCAACAACAACAACAACAACAATAATAATAATAATAATAATAATAATAATAATAATAATAATAAAGCGACTGGATGCCAAAACGAGAAAGCTACTCACTTGCTATCGCATGCATCATCCCAAAGCTGATGTCGACCGTCTGTATGTGCCCAGATCCGAAGGAGGCAGAGGATTAGTTCAACTAGAACTGTCCTACAAAACTACAACAATTGGCCTCCAAAGATATTTGGAAACTACAGAAGACTGGATGATGGTGTGCGTCAAGGAACATGAAAGTAGTAAGCGTCTCTACTCCGTAATGAAGGAAGCCAACAAATTCAAAAAATGGAGTTTCAAATGGGCGTAGAGATGCAACTACAGCACAATACACCGGCTGAAACTGCAAAATACCTAAAAAAAAGATAGCTAAGACGAATGCAACAGACCAGTTACAGAAGCGATGGCAAGATAAACCGCTTCATGGCCAATACTCTGCCCGTACCAAACAAGCTGACGTAGACAAAAAACCCGTACCCATCAGTGGCTACGTAGTGCAGGGTTGAAAGCGGAAACTGAAGGTTTTATCCTTGCTGCGCAGGACCAATGCTTGCTAACTAGGGGAATTATCAAGCACATATACTAAAAAATATTGTGCCAGTCCAAAATGCAGATTCTGTGATAAATATCCAGAAACGATTGATCATCTTGTATCAGGTTGTACGGTGTTGGCACCCACTGAAATATAAAACCCGACATGACAGAGTGGGCCAATATCTGCACTGGAAAATCTGCAACTTCTACGGGAAGAAAACTGAAAGAAACTGGTATGAACACCACCCAGACCCGGTTACGGAGATGGGACCTGTTACAATTCTGTGGGACTACACAATACACACTGACAGAACAATCAAGGCCAACCGCCCAGATATTGTTATTAAAGACCATAAACAAAAACGGTGCCTCCTTATTGATATGGCAGTGCCTGCAGACTGCAATGTATCTTTGAAGATATTCAAAAAGTTGTCAAAGTACAAGGACCTTGAAATAGAAATCGCGAAAATGTGGCATATGGGAACATCAACAATCCCTGTTGTGGTTGGAGCCCTAGGACTGGTTGGAAAAGATTCCAGTAGACTAATTGAAGGGATACCTGGAAGTCCATGCCTCAAGGAGTTACAGAAAATTGTTCTAACAAGTACAGCCCACACCTTACGAAGGGCTTTATCTATGTAATCTTTTTTTTTTTTTTTTTTTTTCTGTCAGTGGAAAGTGTCATGACGCCATTTTTAACCTTAGGTCCCTGGGCGGGACCCGGAAAGAAATGTGTAAACGCCAGAAATCAAAGAAAATAAAAATAATAATAATAATAATAAGTGCATACAAGTAATGGCGATAGTATCCGTGAGTATAGAATTATAAGAATAATAATGATAATAATAATAACGATAAAATAATTGTAATATTGATGAAAAAGTAAAGTAAAAGATGATAAATAAATATTCTCTCTCTCTGTATATATATATATATATATATATATTTATATATTTATATATTTATATATACCGTTACAAACATCTATATGTATGCGTATACATAGAAAATAGAAATGAAAATAGACACATAGCTGAACATATAAGCTTCTATATAAACATAGTCTATATCAATATTATTATATATACAACATAGAATACTTTAATTCTCTGAAAGTTATTTTAATGTATATTTAACTCTTAAAAATCAGGTGATAACATTTCTCATGTTTTTTTCTCAATTTCTTTTACAGGCAAGACAATTGACTTCCTTGGCTTTAATACACACGGTGTCCTGGCCATCATAATTCTGACAGATATGTTCATCAGTGCCATGCCGGTACGTTTACTGCACGCTTGGATGGGTTCTGTCTACGCGACGTTGTTCAGCATCTTCTGTCTTCTTTATTGGCAAGCTGGTGGCACCAACACGAAGCATAAACCCTATATTTATCCAATCATGGATTTCTCAAAAAACTCTGGCACCGCCGTTCTCTGCATATTCGTACTGGTATTTTTGACGGGCCCACTGCTACACACCGCACTCTATGGCCTCTACTGTCTCAGACGGACTATTTACAACAAAGCCGCACGCCAAAAAAACTCAAATACACCGCACAATACGATCATGTGTGAAGAATGCGAACTGCAGTCAAAAGAGCCAATCAGTGCAGTATAAAAAGGGATAAAGAGCTATTAAGTTTTAAAAAGAACAATCATAATAATAATTGGTGTGTGTGTGTGCGTAAAGACGAAAACAATCCTACGTGTGTTAGATTTCATTTTCATTTAATGGTTAAATAGGAAAATATCAAGAGACAGTAAAATATCAAATCACAAAGCAAATTTATTTTATCATATCATTTGTATACAAGAACGTAGACAAGACAACACCAAGAAAAGCTTCCCTAAAGTAACCACGCCATCATTATATTTAAAGGATAATCGGTTATTGATCTAATGAAACACGGTGCATGAGAATATAATGATATTATACCGCTGATGCTGAATCATTGACAAGAAGAAATAATTACCAGTAAATACAGTCAACTTAATTATCGTAACCATGACAATGACATGAAGTAAATCGTAGATAATGTTTTAAATAAATGCGTGGACGAAAGGAAACATTAAACAATAAACAATGATAAAGTCGGAAAAGAAATATTTCACAAATTGAGAGCATTTTAGCCTCGATATATATTTCTTTATTCATCAAATGTACCTAGACTGCTGATATTAAAAAAACAAAAAACAAAGACTCACATTTAAATAAACTGAAGACACGGTCAATAACTGAATATGACAACCACAACGATCATAACAACGATGGAAATTCATTTGTTTGGCTTTTCTCACCTCTTGTTTGTTGAGAGGCTCTTTCAGTTCTCGGCCAGAGGAATTACGAGGTGCCTTTTCACTCAGCAAACTGACATAAAATAAATTCAAGAAAAAAACGTAACATATAGATTCAGGAAAAGGAAAGGACAAGAAAACGCATTTTGTTTTTGATCGTGTTAGAAAAAAAAGGGCAACAATTTCTTTTTACCAACTTTTTTCTTTTTTCATCACAGCATTGCAAGTTGAATTATGAACTGTCAAGAGACACGTTCAAAGTTTAAAGAGATTTTTTTCTTCTCTTCAAAAAACATAATTTAAGAATTCGGTACATAAATATGAAAACAAAAAAATGAAAACTAAGAATAGCAGATGTGAATAATTATGCTTGTTTGTGTTCGTGTGTGCGTGCGCGGGAGAAACTGTATTATTCACAAGGCTATATGAATGTACATATTGATGTAAAAATGAACGTGCGTATGAATGCGTATGCCAACATGTATTTATATTTGCTTGTAGATAAGCAGAGCGTTTTGTAATTTCTGCAAGTCACATCTAAAATCGAAAAAAAAGAAAAGAAAATGGCTTTATAAATAAAATCGTTGAAATGGTTTAAAGTAAAGCTTCATATATTTCATTAAGTTAATTTTGGATATTCAGATTGTAGGAAATAGTTTTTATATTTCGTGAGGTAGAGGGGCTAAATTATTTAAAATCTATTGTGGAATTAAAATTTAGTGAGTATTCTTCTCAACTTCACTTGAAATTCAAAACTTCACTTAAAATTCAAAAAAAGATGGGCTTTGGTCGATATATATATATATATATATATATATATATATATATATATATATATATATATATATATATCGGTCAAAGTCCATCTTTTGGTGTTATCTTTTTTAAATTTCACGTGAAGTTGAGAAGAAAATTCACTAATTATATATATATATATATATATATATATATATATATATATATATATATATATAAGGTCACCATCAAAAATCAGACAAAAAGAAGCTAAAGACATATTTTATTAGAGAAATTGGTTTCTGTTTCTTAAATTACGATAATCTAGATGGCGTCGATTTGAGTTATCCATCAAGCTATGTAAAATGGATTCACTTATAACTCTTTTGATTTTTGATAAGGCCTTAGAGTTTTGTTCTTACTTGTTGAAAAAAATACATTTATCATTTAACCCCAAGTAAGGCAATAAAGTCACTAGAATGCAAGAGATTACTAAGTGTTAGAGAATATGAGAAAAACTACTATTAAGGAGAGAGGAAAATAAAAGAATAAGAATTAAGAAGATAACGATTGACATTGCATTTAAATTTTTGAATATTGTTGACTGGGAAACAAGAATCAGGAAGAGAATTCTACAAGCAAGAAGTGCGATGGAAGAAACTGTTACTTAAAATAAAAAAACCCGTAACACGAATACTATATTTTATAATGACCTCTGATGAGAACTTATTTAATATTCAACCCCGAAAGCGATGCATTTTAGGTTTGTCGCAATTTGCAGACTTTACATATTCGCTTGTAAAATCGGTGTGAATGATGAATTAAAAGAGATTAATAAAAAGGGTGTGAATGATTTCTCTTGTGGTAAATATACTGTGAGAAGAACTTGCTGTTGTCAAGTGTTTTAATTTTCTTTTCAAATCGATTGATTGAGCGTGGTGTTATAGTTCTGGATATCCCTGGACTGCGCTGATCTTCGGATCAAATATTTATTGTGTCTGTATCAGACAACACTCGTACCATCGAATGATCATGCGCGGATCAACTGAAAGGAGCCATTATTTAATGGCGTCCCTGTTTGATGTTGGAAGTGATTGTAATCGATGTATACATCATGATTATGTGCATGTATATTATTATATGCACATGCTCGCTCTTAAATTAAAAGAAACTTTGAATGTTTGTCCGACATGTGATGTAGATGAATAAGGAATGACAAATTCTAATGTTGGTGATATTCACTCACAGTTTACTTAAAAATATACTCGGTGAAAAAATAGGATATGAAAGAAATATGTATGAAAAATAACGCAAGTCAATCTTTTGTAAATATGTCAACAACTACCTTGAAAATATGAAGCAAGATAAATTTTATATTGATTTGCCTATATGTGAATATGGTTGGATGAGAACCTGACAGAATGGTAAATATACAAAATAATTTAGGAAAAAATTACCTTGACATGTTTCGTCGATGATCCGGTGTCAACGGAAAAAAAAATGGTTTCACAAAATAAAATTTGATTCACATGACAATCGGATAAAATCTGAAACAATTAGTTTTTATTTAAAATTCATTAACTGTCTTCGTAAAGAAGAAAAATAAAATCCTCCATTATCCTAACAATTTGATATACAATGTCAAAAGAAAAGCGTACAAAATCCACAAAAACAAAGTAGAAAAAATAGTATCAACGACAGTACAAACACTAAACACATTACCTATACATTCTATAGGTAATTTGGAAGAAAACCTAATTTGAATATATAAATTTTTATAAAGACTTAAAAGAGTTAAAGATTAAATCAATGTAAAGCAGTTAATTTTACATCAGAATCAGGTATTTATCAAATACAATATAAACAGTACCTCCCAATACATTGACTAAATATCCCAATATTTAAAGAGAAGAATATATTAACATAAAAAAGAACTTAAATTCAAACAATACATTCAATGTACTTGTGTGTCACCGAAAACTATGTGACCACAATTTTGAGTGGGGAAAAAAAAATAACATTTTAATAAAAAAATGAATACAATTTACTAAGAGGAAGATGCCCTGAATACGCTACAATGAATCTTCTACAATTAATATGCTATTTCAATATAACGCCTTTTCTTATTAATACGGAAACAATATGGGAAATTGAAAGGGTGAATCAAACAAAAGCAAAAACTTCCCAAAAGACAAAAGAGGGAACAAATGAAATTAGTTACAATCTAATGTCTCTAACAATAGTTTAAAGTGAAAATCGAGTTTTCCGATGCTTTGTGTAAATCACGCTTTGGTACGCTAATGTAGATTTTGTTTTTGTGAAATAAAATGTCTTATTTTGATGACGCCGGACCATCGGCGAAACATGACAATGTAAAAATTTTTCGTAATATCGTATTTTGCTGCTAATAAGACGCAATTTTCTTCCTATAAAATATCTTCAAAATCCACCCTGCGTCCTATAAATTGAAGGTCGGTGACGGCAGTCATAAGTTAGCTAATTTCATGAGGACATTACTTTCGGTAAATTTTACAGTGTAAACTTAGCACATGTAACAGACGTGTCAAGATTACCGGTAATAAGAATTTCAAACTATAATACCGGGAGAAAGATTCAACAGTGCAGTAAACACTATCGTATGTTTTAACCTACACATAAATCAAACTTAACCTTATTTCTGTATTCAAATTTACATGTAGCTAGTTTAAAATTAATACTCCATCTTGGTTTGTGATGTATTCGACACGATTATTGAGGATTTCTGGCTGCAATAAGGTTAAGCCCCACTGGTATTTTTAAATCCTAATTATTACATTGTAAATAGTTATCATAAATTTGGTGCTTCTCAGTCTGTGATGAATTTGTCATGATTAGTCAGGTTTTCATGCTGAAACATGCTATTTAGTTGGGTAAAATTTGGGATAGTGGCGAGGGCTATGAACTACAAGGAAAAAACTTTTTTTGATTTATTCCTTCAAAATCTAATGCATGGGAGCATCTTATAAGTAGCGGAATACGGTACCTTTTCCAAATTGTCTTATATATTTCCCATTTGCCTATATATATATATATATATATATATATATATATATATATATATATATATATATATTCATATGTATGTACATATGTATGTGTGTGTGTGTGTGTGTGTGTAAATATATGCCAATTTGTCTTTATTCTTAGCCACGTTAGAATTCAATACAAAGAAGGAAAAATACAGTTTTGTTCTCGTTTGTAGTGGATGAATATTTGCTTTTTTCCTATGCAAAATCTGGTGACATTTTATCAGTTTGAATAATCAGTATTACATTGCTAACTTTTGAAGGATTTGTCACCTTATACATCTTCTTCCAATCCAGAGATTTCTTCCATGTTCATCTTGTTCAGAATGTAATTAGTACCCGCATTTTATCACAATTTATCTTTATGAACTTACAGGGTCCAATTCGACATTGCCCGATCATATAAAATTCATTGTGAAAAAAACGAAAACGTGTTGTCTTGTTTTTCTTTCATTTTATGTTTGTATTTGTCGTTAACACACGCCATAATCTTGTGATGTAAATGATCAACAAATGTAAGGAA